TAACTTCAGATCATAAACAGCCAGTGACAGAATTATCAAACTACTGTTTTAACTAAGCATTAATCGAGTATGTGTTTATAATGATTTCTTTGCTTATTATCCTTCTTACCATCCCTTAAGCCAACACCTCTACACTGGAAACTTTTCTTGCACAATTACTTGAAAATCAAGCATGAGAAAATGGGAGGATATTTCTAAACACTGTGGTTTTGTTCCAAATAAAGCTGGTGAGTGGTAATGTTTAGTGCTACTTATAATTGCAAAATTTTGGTTGTGACCATTGTTTTATTTTCACAACAGTAATGTAAATAATGGAAATCAATAAAGCACTGCAGCATAACATTGAATCATCAGATTTTAAAAGAAAGAGTTGCAGTATTTTTAGCAGCACAATCTATTATTAACAAACACAATTAACTGATAGAATGTCTTTTACTGAAAACCTAATTTTCATTCCACAATCAGTGACCAGAAGTAGCTTCTAGTAATTAAAACTGGACATAAATATGGCTTCAACAAACCCTGCAGATGCTGTGTTAGCAGGATCCTTGAAGAGTAGTTTAAATTTTTCCCTAAGCCAGTATAAAAACATCCTGAACAGGCAGCTGGAATTGAATTTCACTGGGCCTCCAGAGGTGCAACAAGATTATATTCTCCTTCCCATCTGTCACCGCTCTGCACTTCCCATGCCCCCTTGAAGCTATGGTCTACTAATAGAATTGTTTCAATCGCCATATAGCAAAGAAGATAGGAAGAAGATTTTAGTACCTTGTAACGTGTTTATTTATTATACTGATATTTCCTTTCTTTGCTTCTATCTAGTGAATACTTTAGTCCTCACAGAATCATAAAGTAATTCAGATCAGAAAGATTTCTAGACGTCATCTGGTCCAATGACCTGCTCAAAGAAGGTCTGGTTACATTAAGTTGCTCACGACCTCGTTTGGTTGGTCTAATATATTCGAGGGCAGAGTTTCCACAACCTCTCCAGGCAGCCTGTTCCAGTATTTCCACGTCCTCAAGGTAAAAATATCTTTTCTAACTTTTAATCAGCATGTGCCCTGCTGCAGCTTGCATCTGTTACCTCTTATCATTTCACCCTTCATTTGAGAGAAGAATCCAGTCCCACCTTCTCTATACCAATCTATTACGTACCTAAAGTCACCAGTTTCTTGTTCTTCAGGGACAAAAGGAGTGCCAAACTGGTTTTTGTAGTCCAGCATTGGCACTGAAAGAGTATCTCTGCAAGGACTCAATTCAGACAGTGCTGAAACTTCTTCCAGATGTTGCTATCAACTACAAATTTAGCTGAAGAACTGAAATTTAAGCAATGCACAACATAGAAGCGCAGCTCAGGGTGGTAAGTGGTCAGCTAATTCTCTCCAGCAGTTTCTATGCTTTCAGCATTTCAGGCAATAAGCAATTCCTGAGCGGCACAGCCCCTGGGATTTGGGCACTTCAGATTCTATATTCTAGCTATGGAAAAGAGACCCACTAAGCTCCTACAGCGGTTACTGGAGGAGTCAACACAATAAAGCTAAACTGCAGTACATGCATCCAGTTACAAATTAACGTTCTCCTATTGAAATATTCCTTTACTGTTTGAGCAAATCCACAGCAAATGTTAATTGACAACGTCACATACTTCATATAGGGTTATGATGATTTACAGCAACTAAGGATCTGCCCCATGGAGTGAAGTGACATTTTTGTTACTCCTGAAGTCGCTATTAACTCTTGTTTCCCATTTTATGGAAATAACACAAACTTACACAATTTGGCTCACTAAAAGCAATGATTGCATACAACAGGCTCTTTGTGAAAGAAAATGTTTGGAATTATGGGTTATATTACACATTTGAGCAATGTATAGGAAAGCTAAGAACTCCAAATACTGAGCAATTAACCTGTTATTCTCTTGCTAGGATTTTAAGAGAAAGATTCAGGCTTCTTTTTTTTTTTTTTTCGTTAATGCCTTTTGTTTTTCCTGTTTTCACTATAATCCAGTAAGCACTAAGCTTCTGCATCACTCATTTCCATCTGAAATCTAAGCATCACTAGGAAGATAACTAAATTCTACAGCAAATATCAACATAAGTCTAATGGACTCTGGCATACGGCACATTTTCTATCTTTCTCCAATTCTTTCTGTGTAGAAGAATGTGTAATTGAGAGTAGTGACTGGTATACGTTAAACAATTATACAGTCTCTTACACCTTCCTTTTAGTTGTTTTTCCCACTGTATCTCTCTTATCAAGCTTTCTGGCAACTAAATTACATCTACTTCAGCCTTTCTTATATCAGTTGGAACTTGCAGTCAACTTCAGAGGGGACAGATAAGGGGCTGTAAATAACACATTCAAACTGCATTTGAAAATAAGTAATCACTTGCTGAGGAGGATGGAAGAATTTAAATTATACCCTTTAGGTTATCTCAAATGCAACTCTGACTGTTGCTGCTATCCTTTGAAGAGAAGTAATAATCCCACATGAATTTCCATGCATGGTGTTAAAGAGGCATAAAAATACAATGAGATATCAGATAGGACAAAGCACCAAGAGTGCAAAGCTGAATCGTGCAATGTATCATTTCAGAACCTCCTAGTGAAACAGTATTTTCTATCTACTGTGCATTAATAAAAATACACAACTCCTTGAAAACATAAGAGTTGATAATTGTTACAGCATTGCATTCCCCATTTAAGCAAAATACATGCTAGCCACAAAGAAACTCTTCAGAATACTTTCTTTTACTCACTAATCTACAGTAATATCCTCTTGGGTAATAGTCAAACACTGCAAAATGCATGATACCTGCAGCTATCAGCAACAAACCAGAAAAAGCACCAGCTTACTTAGCCTTGTGCTAATAGCCTAAACTGATCACAGCAGTATATTGCACTATTATTATTCTGGATAAAATGCATTGCATTTTTACTAAGTTGTATTGAAACTCTTTACAAGAACTGCAGTACAAACTCACAGAGCCTAGGTATTCTTCTAGCTGTAAAAACCCCTGTTAGTCTGAATGGTAACTATTGTTTATGAACTCATTGATCTATAAAGCTGTTCTAGCAGCTAATAAGCGTTTCTGAAAATTCTGTGTATAAATTGTGGTGACTGCTCAGAAAACAGTTATGTTTAAGAGCAAGAAAATGTAAATACAGTACCCCAGCATCATGCACACTTCCGCTTGCCATATGTCCACAAAAATAATACGCTGACTTTGGAAATTCGGATATTTTATCCTTAGTTATATCTATACTCTTCTACGAAATCATTGTGTACTATTACAAAGCCCTTGAGAATTGTAAGGAAGTAGTATACTGTGCATTTTTGGGGCAGATTCTGCTCTCAGTTACAGAGATACACATTGAAGCAACCTCATCAAAGTCAGTATATTACTCTGGGTTTATGGCATTCTGAGATGAGGCCTCGGCTCTGAGAATTTTATTTTCATGTCGGATTTAACTTCAAATACAGTCTCCTTTGCTGTTTGTTTGAAGCAAACAGATGATTATTAATACCAAATTTTACTGGAAGATGCCTGCTTCTATCGTCCTTTAAAATTCAAAATACATTTTGCTTCATGATGAAGCTTAAAAGAATTGTAAGATATCTCTGTCATGCAATGAAATGACATCAATATGTGGTAAAATTGCCATTAAATAGCACATGCATCCAAAGGCAAAACATGGCTTCTTTTCCTCTTTCCTTATATATGCACCCTAACATATATGTAGGCCATCCTATGTACCACGCTGCAAATCGTCTGTATCACTGAGGTTCTTCCAGATAGATATAAAAAACATGCATATTAAGCACATTCAGTGATATATTTAATTGAAACTCAAGAGGCTACCCACTGCATATCAGAATAAATAGAACCTATATTATGCCTTTTTCCCCTCCCATATGATTTTCTGAACAGCTTTTGTTCAGAATTAACTTAAACAGCTTATCACTCATCCAGATTGGTTTTGATGCTATGTTTAGTTGTGTGTAACGATATATATACTCCCTCAGAGCGTACTTCAGCACCTCTTTAATCTTTAGCCAAGATTATCTAGAGTACTACTCACTAACAAAAACTGCCAGTATATTTTGCTTAACAATGTATTTATCATTTTATCAGACGTTAAATTTACCCACAACTGCAGCTAAAGCCCTCTAACAGTTGACATCTGAAACCATCACTCAAACAAGCCTGCCAGTCTTTCTACACTTACTCTGTCTTCTGAGCTGTACAACAATGAAATCTCTCAGCTTTTCTTCAGTTGCTCTATCATGTAGCAAAACAAATTCAGACAAAGTTTGATACATTTAACTGTTCATTCATCTATTCAAGAGCCGTGGCCATCCAGAAAGTTTGTAACACCTTTCAAAATTAACTAACTCCATTGAGTTAATCTATACCTAGTTCAGGTATAAAACTAAACAGGAAAAGGACCTGCAAACAGCAACCTTTTCTCCCTGCCCAAAAAGTTGAAACACCCAAAATGTTGAAATGTCTTTGAATACTTGCAAAAGTTTGTGTATGATTTTTCCTCTAATATCCTACTAGTACTGTTACATACATCAGCAGTTTATTTTAGGATTTTTTAAGCGAACAGTGTATTTTAAGCAAATATTATTGAAAACCAGCAGATAAATGTTGAGGTTTTTAAATTGCAAAGTAGAATATTCGCACTAGAAACCTGACTCAGCTGTGACATTTCAAAAGCAGCACAGAGTGTTTGTGATTCGTACTTCTAACCAAAATATCCTGAATTTTAAATGGCAAATACTTGCAGTGGATTGCTTTTGTACAAGGTAGAGACTCAGAGTCCTTGGAAGAAATTGTTCATACAGTAACATTAATTAAAAAATAATATTAAGAAAACACATGCATGATGCTGTGACAGAAGCTGAGAGATAAGAAACAGAACAGTGTGATCCACCACTGCTCTATCTGTTTTATCTCTCTTTCCTAAATGGTAACACAAACCCAATTCTCTTCTTACCTATAAATGAAAGGAGCTACTGTGGCAGTGTTGGGGTGACTGTATTGCTGTTGCTGAGGAAGCTGGACGACACCATTTCCTGTGCCTTGGCCGCTGCTTGCAGCCATCGAGGCTGACAGAGCCGCGGAGGACCCCGGGGTGAGAGCTGCGCTTGGTTCTTTCCCTTCAGAAGAAGCAAGACCAGAGGAAGGTGAAGCCTTCTCACTAAGTTGAGATTTTGGTGCTGATTGGGACTGGTTTCCTTTTGTAGTCCTCAGTTTTTCAACCTCCTTACTTCCCGTGCACGTGGATGAAGCGCCCTGCTTTGCTGTCGGCACCTTTGATCCAGGTTTCGGGATCCCACTAGAAGACGGTATTAAACTTTCCTTCTTGGCTGCTGTCGTCTTGCTTCCTTTTGGGATTAAGCTTGCAATTTTTGAGCTCTTCTTTGTAGATGTTTCAGTGACCTGGTCCTTCTCTTCCTTGACCGTTTTCTCAGTGCAAACTTTGTTTTTGTCCCTATTCTTTTCCTCTTTGTCCTTTGGCTGTAGCAAAGACTTTTTATTGCTGAGATTTTTGCTTCCAGCTTTTGGAGGGGTTAACTTCGGTGATACTTTAGGACTGCTGCTTGTGGAGCCGCCACTGTTCACACCACCACTTAAGACATCCATTTCACCACACTCTGAAAAGGTATCATCCTCTCTCCCACTGTCACTGGGTCCTGAGCTCAGTGACAAAGGAGGTCTCAGAGCAGTCCTAGCATTAACCAGCTTGAATTTTTCCAGCATAGATTTTTGTCCAGATGAAGGGGGCTTCACGCATTCAGAAGGGGGTGGCTTGAGCCTGTCTGAAGACGGAGTAGGGGAGGTTGCAGGACTAGGCTGCTTCACGGACAGCATGGTAGAGGTCGCACTGTGTTTGACATTCATGGATTTGCTGCGCCAAGGCTTGCTGGCACTTGGAGAGGGTATGGCAGAGACCTGCTGCTGCCCGGTGCTGGTGGGATGCTGCACATTTCCATTCATGCCTGCAGATGGGTTTGGGCCTTTTGGTGAATCTGCTTAAAAACCAGAAAGAACCATAATGGTACAGTTATTCTCCCATCTCCTGCTTGAAGGTGATACCATACTCCTATGACATGCAAACACAGTTACACAATTTACATGCGCATGGATCATGGATCCTAATTGAAAATGCCTTTTTTTCCTCCTACCATCACTGTGTTGTTTAAAACTTCCATGAGCTCAAGACAGCCTTGGAAACACCTTACTTGTAACCATTTCATTATGCAAATAGAGCCTTCCAATTTAAAGATTTCATCTTTAATAAGTCATAAAGAAATTATTCCAATCACTTGTTAATAATAAAACACTGAGATATGGAAGGAAAAAAAAAAGCTATAATACTGGAAGAAAAACAAAACCAGAGAAAGATGGTTTTGATGTTTAGTGAAAGCAAAATATGTGCTAGAAAGCTAAGGTTTTGGGCGGGAGGAGGAGGACTGAGTACTATTGAAATTAAATGGATACAATCAATATTCATAAAAGCAAAAAATGGCAGGTCACTATACTTTCTTTGATTTTCAGTACAGTTAACAACTTTTGATAGCTGACTTCAGGAACTTATCCCAGTGCACCTTCATAGGTGGGCAAAAATATATCAACAATTTCACCAGTGTCAGTGCTTGAAAGTTACAGTGATATATCACCTACATGGGTACAACAATAGCTGCTTTGGTCCTGGAGCTGAGGCAGGTATAGAAGGCGTGTTTGCATGGCTCTGGTACCTTCACTACATTTATGTCATCATGTAACGACAAAAAGAGTGCTTGATGTGTTGCCTACACACAAGAAGCTGAAGTCATGCCTCGGGGCCCCCCTGTCTGAATAATGTCGTAGATAAGGACACTGAAGACATTTGTCCCTTCAGCATAGAGTTTGAAGTTATGCACGATTTTCGTTTCTGCGGTCTCAGCCCTAAGGCCCTAGTACGGATTAGACCACCCACTTGGAAGTCTGAAGTTACATGACAGAAATGTAACAGCTTTGACTTTCTTAATGACTAAACCCCAGCAGGCCATTCGCCTCCACCTTCAATAGATGCTGTATAATTCCATCTGGCCAGAGTTTTTCATGTGCTCCTCAGCCTGATATGCAGACCCCACAGCACTACATGAGCTCAGTCTACCTTCACAGAAGGTTACAAGCAGCTCTGCTTGTGTCCAGTTACCAGACAAGAAAACGTTAACTAGTGAGGGTTGCCTCAGAGCATTTGGTGGGATGAGCGAAGTTACAATTTATTCCCTATGCTCCAGGTAGCACCATGCACGTGGAGCAGCTTTGGTGGGCAGCTGCAAAGCTGATCCCTCCCTTGTGACTAAGGCAGGAATTGTGGCTGGGCCCCTATTATTTTCTAGTGAGCCACAGATCCTGGAAGAGAGCCTGGGGCCAACGACAGCTGTTGGAAATTACGGCAGGCCTCAGGCTTCCTTAATGTATACCAGGGATCTGTCCCATGGCTGATAGCCCAGGACTGGGTGTGCACAAGGACTGTCTTGCACACATCTTGCCTTGCGCTAAGCTTGCCTTAATTACACAGGAGGATTGGGGTCTTTAGCTGGCCCAATGGTTTTGTAGAAGAACAATTCACTATAAGAATATGCAAAGCTAATGCAGGATACATGCAACATTCTGTAAACAGTGGGATGCCACTACACTCTGCTGTATTAATTGCATTAACATTTGTACGGCTTCAGGCTATTAGTTTTACTGCCAAAAAAGAAAAAAAAAAAAAAAAAAAGCAGCATTTTGATTAAAAAGAAGAATGTGTGCCTTGCCATATTTCCTTCTATATAGTCTAAAACTCATTGGGGAGGGGGGGGTGTGGGGGGAGGATATAAAAGGAAGAGTATTTTCTGTTTCATCAACAGCTTGTTCTTCTACACAGATAGCAAAATAACACAGATTCCTGGAACCACTGGTACTTATTTGATCTCGATGTCACAAACTATAAATGGCATCAAAAAATTACAGAGAACTTCAACTTGCCTTTAATCTTCTATTTGAACTGTATCCTTAATATTTCCACAAAGAATGTGGACGGCACACTTGCTCTCCAGAAATATTGAGAACCTGTCTGTATGTTTAAAGACGTGGGATATAAAGATTTATTTCCTCCCCAGCCCAATTGCATTACTTGAAGCTGCACATCGCTCATTGCACGTTCGGTTGGACTTAGCTTTAGCTGTTCATTACGTGAAATCTGTCCCCACCTTGTGGTGATTTTGATACAGAGTGAACCCAACCTATGACAAGGTTTTCATATTTCTATAACCTAAATTTTACAAGAAGATAGGCTTCTGTTTAGGGCCTAAGCCCCTTATTGCTGAGATGCATAATCAGCTTGTGGTAAAAACGATTTTGTATTCCTCTTGAGAGCCCAGTGCTTCAACGCCCAGCGCAACCTGCACTGGAAAAGCAGAGCAGCAACACCCCCAGGTGTTCAGTTCAAAAAGAGACATTTCTACCACAACCCAGCAAGGCCATGACAATCGGATGGACATTTTCCATTCACAGGCTGTTGCACAAACAAAGGACTCATTAGGGGTTAAACTTTGGCCCAATATAAAATTAACCTCCTCTGTCTTCTTGTCTGTGAACTTTGCTGTGTTCTGTGTCGTTGGAGAAGACAGGACTTCTGTGCCCACAGCTCCCCCACTGCAGCACACTTAGGTACTGATAAATTAAATATTCTGTAGCAGGCAGGTGCCCAGATTAGAATATCCAATTTTAGTTGCTCGCAATAAAAAAGGTTAGTAGAAAACGGAAGAGATGCAAGGATTGCTATGAGGATGTTTGGAGGAATGGGAGGTCTGTCTGGTAAGATTAAAAGAATTCAGCTCATTCAACTGTCCCTTTCCAGCTGTCTATGAGAAAGTAGCTACCCCTTATCAGCACAGGAGGAGAACAGCACCACAGATATATGTACTGGCGACAGATGAGCAACGATTTGCATCATCAGACAATGGAGTTCCAGGACAGAGTTTCTCAGAATCGGTATGGGCAAAATAACCAAATACTGTTGAAACTGAATTTGGACAATACACAAACACCATTTAATATTATTAAATTATATTGAAAAGCGGGCAATTAAACTCCATGACATAGAGACTCTTATCAGTGTTCAGATACAATGTTTCTAAGCTCTTAAATTATAATATTTGTTTTTAAAATTTGACTTGAATTAGAACATTACTTCTTTGCCAGACTCAAAACGCCCTAGGTATCCACATTATTAGAAATGTGAATAATTACTTCATTCAAATACTTTCATTTTCATCGTTTTATTTTCATCTTTATTTTATTAAGTAAGAAGCAGATAGATGTGATATGACCTGTAAAAAATATGTGTTCTTTGAAACCCATTCATAAACTGCAAAGTCCAGCAAAAAAAAAATCAAAAAAAAAAAAAAAATCAGCTCACTAAAGCTCCACAGATGAGTTTCAGCTAGAGGCATGTTTATTGTGCTAGTGCAGGTGTGTTCCTGACTTAACCACAGCTACACACAGCTACCTGTGCCACAGCAATGGGTCAGGTCTGTGCATGAAAACCAGGCTGTACCCAACAAAGGGCAAACCTGTATTCACTCAGGGGAGCTATGTTTTTTACTGTGTGAACTACTCTCTAAGCAACATTTAATGGAGATAAAATTAATGATATACTAAATAATGAAAGACAAAATAAAAGGCCCATATCACATCTTATTTTGGATCACCTTCAGGTCTCCTTTAACTCTGTGACTACATATCTATTCCCCACTGTGACTGAGTTTGAAGAAACTGCGTTATGCAGGAATGGATTTCAAGTATTGCATGTAACTGGATTAAAAAACACCCGTTATGCTCTATATTTTTCCTGAGGTCTCCTTATAGCACATACGGGAAGGTGTACAGCACAGAAAGACATAACAAAAGTGGTCTGCCTTTGAAGAGGTCTGGAGGTCCCAACCTCTAATGACTATTTACCTAGCACAAGTCATCTCTTCTTCTGCTTCAGTTTATGCAACACTAGTGCAGAATTACAAACTATTTACTATATAGTCTAGGTCTCATAAATTTGCGTGTATGGACTGTATATCCATTCAATGGAAGCTGTTAAAGTTGTCTTATTCCAAGCATCTGTATCAGAAGCAAAATTAGAAATATAAGGTTTATTATGTGGGCCACAGTGTAATGAAAAATCAGTTTTTCAATGTATAGTGACATTTAAAAAAAAAAAAAAAAGTTTTGTTATTATTACTATTACTATTGTGAGGGTTGAAGTTTGTTTCTAAACAAATTTTTTAAAAAAAATCAGGTTACAGAACATCCTCAAATACTTTAAAAAAAAATCCAAAAATTACTTGGAAATTTCATTGTAACACTAAAAAATGAGCCATTATAGGCATTAACTTTAAAATATAGCATGGCTCAGTTGTTTTTCTCTTTAGGCAAAGAAGTAGCATGGTGAATTCAAACACAGGTTCTCATGTGTTCTTTTAGGGTATTATAAAAAACTATCAATTTGCTATCCTTGCACTCACAGCAGTCATTTTCTCTAATTAACTTTTGCTTTAAACTTTAAAATAAACTCATATTCTGTTTATATTCTCACATAAAATCAATGTTCTTTCATCCATTCTGCTGTTTTGAAAGAAGAAAGAGCAGACAGAAACATCTCAAATATAGTACTCTGTAGTTATGCAACATTATGTTTTCTATATCCTGTAAAATGAATTGAATGTTTATACACAAACAAAGCCACCCCTTATCCTCTTCCAAGTGATGACTTCACTAAAAATCTCATCTAGATTCTCATTCTCTGCTGCAAAGAAATGGAAAAGTAAAGAAATCCACCATGCAAAAAGCCACATAAATGTGCAACACAGTGCAAACCTTAGCAGTCAAAAGACAGTTTCCAAGTAACGAGCTAAGAATATTGATATCTACAAGCATGTCTCACCTTGAATCATTTCACTCTCACATATTTCAGTAGCAAACTTGTGTCAACATAAGCAATTCTAAAACCTAAACTGCTGTACATACCTTCACTGAAGCAGCCACATCTCCTACTTCATAACTTCACTATTGCATTTGTGACTATACAGTGTCTGCTCAGTTTTCACTCTGATCACTTTCTCATTTTAGCTTGGATGTCTTGGCATAAACAAGTCCTTGGTAAAATAAATCCCACTATAGAACTATCTAAAACATTCAACCCTGATAGTAAAAATAAAGAACAACAACTGAAAGGATGGTTTTATATCTTCAGATACAGCTAGGGGCAAAGTGTGTTCATCAGAATTTTGTAAAAAAATCTGGATAGCTGCCTGTTGCTTGGATGAAGAACATTCACTGCATACTTGTTCCTCCCACAGACCCCAAGGATGCAAACGGGTACTATGTATATTGTATCATTTTCAACTGTATTCTAACCCAAAGATATGAATAAAATGCTGTTCATTACACAAAGGGAGAAAGAAGGCGGGGGGAAGGGGCTGGATTAGTTACACAACTCAGAAAGCTGAATTTTTACATTATTCTTTCTGAGATAAAGCCCAAAGAGGCACATTTTCCAGGAAACAGTGTCAGGGTGGGAGAAACGGAAGGACCCAGGGAACCAAACTCAAGTTTGTTTCCATAATGGAAGTTCATATTTAAAGAAGGTAATAGAACATGAACGCTGAATTCAAATCCCTGCAAAATTTCATTACATTTGACTTAATTTCCAATCCTCTATTCAGACTTATATATACATGCTAGGTAAGGTTCTGAAGGAATAGATGCATGTAATATTCTGATGCAACTATAATATTCTGATTCTTCTCCATTAGAGGCTAAGATTCAAAGTCCCCTGAAAATTACAGCAGTCTTGCTCTGGGTAGTCTATGAGTAGACTTGAATATGGACCAAGATTATAAGTGTCTGATATGGACTCATTTTTACTTCAGAAAAATCACCTGGTGATATTTCCATCAAAGAGGGATAAAATGTAGTAGCATCTTGCAAGTTTTCAGTTCTAAACTTTAATCCCAACTCAATCACAAGTCCCAGTTCAGAGCCCTATCTCCATAGATCTTCCTTACCAAATCTAAACAATACATTCACTTCGTTGACCCTTGTGGATGGGTTTATTTGATGATTTTTTTCGCCTCTTGTATGTTATGTAGAGTAAGCTTAGTAACTTTTAATCACGTACCTTTTTCATTTCCATTTGCATATTGTGGAGGTTTGTTTTTGTCAATGCTGTTAAAGCTCTGGCTTCTTCGATTTAAATTAGAAGCTCCCTGGACTTTGGTACTGCTGCCTGCAGCTGGCACCCTCGAGGGTCCTGGGAGCCTGGAATGGCATAATCAGAAACCAGGTCATTTGCTGTAATGCAATATATAGAGGAGGCAGTATGCAAATATCAGACCAGAATTTAAAACCAACAACTGAAAACATTGATTTCAGGTAAGCAACAATGAACAGGAGGATTCAAATTAGTCAGACTCCGCAACTGAAAATAAAAGCTTATCCTTACACACACAAAAGGGAAAAAGATGCTTTCTAGAGTCACAAGACATGTAAAAAGATGCTTTGCATTTGCCATTAACATTGCTAAAACAGATTCAGCCTAACAAACCATTAAAGTGCAATATCAATTTTTATTTAAATTTGTCACTTCTGAAGAGGAAATGTTACAGAAATTGATTAGAAAGCACAAGAATACATAGTTGAGAAATATTTAGTATCTTTTACTCTAGTAAATGTTTCACAGCTTTGTTTAGCATAAAAGCTGGCTATTAGTTACCTTCTTTGGTTATTAGCTGAAGCACTTCCACTTTATTATTTTAAATGAAAAATATTCAAAACACAAATTTTAGGTAGACACTACAGATGCATGTATACCTTTTACATAGAAGTATATAATGTAGACTATACAGTTCATTTGCTAGTATTTGCTGCCACCATCTGAACTTTGCTGTATGGCTATACTAATGAAAAAAAAATGTAGAGTCTGTCGTCCCTGGTGTGTGTAAGCCTACATCTTTTTTTCTGTCTCAATCTGTTCTCTGAGGTAAGATTCTTTAACATGTGCTTACTTCAGACTTTCTGCAGCATCTTTGTGGGCACCCCTACTCCTTTCCAGTTTTGTTATCTGATAGACAAAATTAAATGCTCAAATCAGCAAGTGGCTTTTGCCGTAGGAGAAGAATATCTATCTTCTGTTTCACACTTACTGGAATGATATGATGATTTTAATAGTGGCAACACAAAATATACCAGAGCTATTGAATTCTGTTAATTTCACTATATTGTGGTAGAGCAGCATCAGAAGGGAGAAAAAGATCACATTACAAAGAATAACAAAATGTTAGATTTCTTCCAAACTTTTTTTTGTTTAATATACTGGTATAACAGAAATGTTCAAATAATTTCATTTTCATTAGCGGACATACGTAAACAGCTCCATGTTCTCTTCCTTTACCAATTTAAGCCTCAGAGAGCTAATCCATTAGTTATTTTTATGGCTCCTTCTGGCCGCCAGCCTGCCCTGCTAGTCTCTGTGCTGAGCTCAGAGCAGACTGTCTCTGCTCTGCAGCTGTAAGCATGCTAACCTTTACTGTGACCCATGAATTCGAGTGATCTTCTGTTCCCTGAAGAATGCACTAAAACAAACTTAAAAATCCATTTGCTCCTTCTCATTACCCTAATTTGACAGGCAGTAAGAGCTCTGAGATCGTTTGTCAAAGGTAATGAAAAAAGGAATGAGAAGGCATGTGCAACACTGGAAAATCATCTGTTCTGCTAAAATATAAAATAGTTCTGCATATATTCTGCATGCCAGAATTCGAGAACTTGCCACAGTAAGCACATTATACATGAGGTCATTTGCTCTACACACTTTCCAGTTTACCTCATTTGCTATCTTTTTTAATTGAAATCAGGTTTTAAATTGCTCTTGCAGAATCATGTTAAGCAGCTAAGGAAATGCAAAGAGGAGAGTAACAAATAAGGGACAAACCACATACCTCTGAACAGGCTTCGGAAACACTGCCACAGATTTAAAGTATTAGACAATAAGACTGTTAACCCCGACATGTTGAATGTGGACAAGACAGGAGCATCAGCAGTAAGGAAAACTGAAGACCTATAATGCAGGTGCAAAGCAACTGGACCATGGTATAGCTCATTCCAAGCTATCACCAGCAACTCGAATTGTGTTAGTGCGCTGTACCGCAAAATGCAATCTTTATCGTAAATTACGCAATTTAGAGTTCATTGTTCTCACCAATGAACTGTACAGCAAACGCATAATTAATGATCACATTAATTATACACACCCCCCCCCAAAAAAAAAAAAAAAAGTTAGAAACTTTAGACCTCAGTTTCTTTCTTCTGCAATCTGGCTTGTAGATTTTAGTGCTCATGGAAATGATAAACTAAAAGTACTGATGAAATCTGAAACGGGTCAGCTCCTACACACAGCTCTGTCAAATTCACTGCCAAAACAAAGCATCTCGTAGTGGGGACTGTGTGCAGGCTAGTCTTGATGGAGCAGAAGTCTTGGAAGTGGTTCCTTTCTTCTGCTCTATTGTGCTTCTGCGTGAACTTGGCTCTGTGAACTCAACTTTTCAGGTGGGTTTGTGATACATGCAAAACATCTAGTGGGAACTGGGACGGACTCCCAAACTTCTTTTCACTCGCGACTAAAATAAGGATTTGAGCCAGAGAGTAGAGAGCACTAAAATCACCAACTAATCCTTCACATCCAATATTTTACGTGCAGGATACAAAGATGCAGGATACATAACAACCAGAAACATTACTAATATACAGTACAAATCAGCTCCTTCCAGTCCATACAAGGCTTTCCCATGGCAAAGCTCATTCTTGAAAAGCTTGCACACAGAACATAAATACACATTGTTTAATGTCTGCTTCTGTCCAAAGGATAAAATATCAATGGGCATATACTTGCTTGAGTATCACTAACAAGCAATAAATTAGAGATATTTAACTGACCTAGAAGCCTTTTTTTGACTGGTTGCAATTCCACTGTGATTAGACTGAGTTGCATATCTGGCTGTGAGACTGTATGAGAAGAAACAGAGAAATTGAATTAAAGAATTTATTTGAACATGTATAGAAAGAACACACTTACCAGCAAACTATGAGTTAATGAATGCAAATTGAACATGGATAGAAAACACAAAATAACTGGCAAAAATATGAAATAATGCAAACATGCAGATTTTTATGACAGATGCAATGCACAGATTATGAAATAAGGGATATTGCTATAACTTGTCTCATTTGCTATAAAATCTCTTAGGAATAGACAATACGGGCAAATTTCTACAGTGACTGAATTACTGAAGTCTAGCTCAATTCAGAGTGCACCTCAAAACTTTTTGCCTTTTTTTTTTTTTATCCACAAAACGTACTAAGAGCAAGCATACAGCTACTAGTTTCTCCAGCAACCTGACTGGGTTCACAGTCTGGCAGTTAGGAAGAAATTTGTTATACTAGATCCAATGTGGACTCAGAAAAATTCCCACTAAAGAAAGGTGACCCTCCTGATAGCAGAGTTATATGGAAGAAGCATCCCATCATGATTTTTATTACTGTTACAGCAGCACAGGTCATGTATGTGATGCATTACCCAGGCAATGAATCAGAGGCTTCATTAGGAAAGCCCTGACGTGCTTAGACTCACTGTTAAGTTCCATAGGAAAATGCACCTTTGTCTATTAAGGTAGCTGAGTAGTGTTTCTGCAACAGAAGATATGCTGTGCTACAGGGCTAAAACCTGTATGTTGCTTTTGACACCTGACAATGTATCATTACTAAACAGCAAATTTATGCCTCTATTCTTTTAGACATTTGCATAGGGGATATGTCAAATATACGGCCAGGGTAAGGCCTCCTGCCAGATAATTTCAGTTACTATAAAATGGTGCATCCTTTGGGATTCACACAGCCTAAGGATGTAAACAGGTGCCTAAGCCTGTTGACACAACATCAAATTTCTTGCATTATTAAGGAAGTGGCAGAGAACGGAGAAAGCAGAAACTCTGATAGTCACAGATCGCTTTTGTGTCTTACAGTTTTGCATTTTCCAACAATTCTTCTGAGTAGAAGCAGAAACCACAGTGCTCTAGTCCTGTCTTTATAGACTGGCAGCACTTACAAGAAACACGTGATGGTATTCAGTCTATCAGAGAAGTGTTAAGCAATTTCTGCTAGTCCACTGAAGCAGATAGCATGAGTATAGAGTAGATGGGAGAAGCTTTCAAGGGAGAAAGGTCTTCCCATGCTAGCACAGCAGTCCTGAAGAGAGGCAAGAAGAAGGCTCAAACCAAGGGGCAACGTGAGACTTGAATGGGATGCATGATTATTGCTACTTTACCAAACTAAATACCAATAAGGGGTTCAGCATTGCCTCTGTGCCTGCCAATTATAAATAGCACATCTGCACATGATGACTATATAATAAGAAGAGTACTTCAGTCTTAAGAGGGCGTAAAGGAATCATTCAATATAAAAGCAGAGTTCAATTCTCTGACATATAACTTCAGAGTAATGCTGACATAGTGCTCTCTTATATGACCATAAATTCTTTGAGAACTGTAATAAATTATAGTAATATCATAATAATTACAGTTTTTATATTTTTATCTATCTAGTCATTAGTATATTGCATTATATTTCACTTACAGCTACCTTTCTTAACAATGTCTGGACATATGGTGCAAATGTGACATAGGATGTTTTGCTGAAGTTGCTACATTTGTGCCTGGCACAATAGCCCATCTTTTGATAAGGTCTTCCACTAATTTTTTTGTCAACTTATCTGAAATGACGGAATCTAGAAATGGTTATCTGCATTGACTAAACTAAGAAGTTTGTGAGAAAAATGATATGTCAAATAAAACCTTAGTGCATTTATATTGTAAAGGGTAAAATGATACATAGTACAATCAACACGGACAGTGAGCTGGAAAAAAGAATGAATAGAATGCATCTTAACCACTGGCTGAAAAGGCTGGAGGCTCTGCCTTGCTGTACTGTATCGTAGCTCTTCTACCGCAAACAACACAATTACAAAACAATTAGAAAGATCAAACAACTTAATCTCAGTGACGTTGCCGAGTTGTTGATAAGGTAGCCCACAGACAGATGGCACTTTGTTTTTTTACATAAAGCCCCTGTCTGGAAATGCTTGCTAGAATGCTTTCCCTCTGTGCTTGTTACTCACTTGGGCCTCCATCCACTAGCAAATTCATGAAATGTCAGCCTACAGACTGCTTTCAAACTTTCCAGACAGGCTTGAAAGCATTGATGGATGTGTCAACGTCAGTAAAGCATCATTTCCACTATGACTGGGTAAATTTAGTTTCCAAATTAACGTGACAAATGAAAGGGAAAAAAAAGAGAACTTTAACAGCTCATAAACCAGGTGCATCAAGTTCCTAATGACTTTGGGTTTTCCTTCTCAATTAGCACTGGATATGCTGGACCCATTAAAGCTTTGCATGGATGCCCATTTCCTTACTGCTTGTCCCATTATTACAGATGTGAACTGTAACACATCTAAAGTCTAGCCACTCTTCTAAACGTATAAACAAATATGTACCTGCTGCCCTCCATCGTACCAGATAATTGTCTGTGGGTAACATCCTTCAATCACGAAAATAAACCGATTTTGCTTAAAACAGTAATTTTTTATCCACTCAAAGGTTTAACAAATATGTGCCTGCATTAAAGCAGCAGACGTGTGTAAACCAGACAGTATAAGTTTAACACCACAGCATTTAGGATGTTTATTTGCCAGAGGGTTGGAAAGGGAGGTTTTGAAAGCCTCCAGTTCTCAGCTGTCTGCTCCCAAGACCCTTTCCACGGCCATAATGCTCCCACCAGCAGTCTTCCCCGATATGGTCTCACAGCTTTGACTCCTCAGAGGAGCCATGGCAGTCGCCTAAAAAGCCCAGCCACAGTGCATTGGCAGGGAAGGAACATATGAACTACAGAGGAGATCAACCCTGCCTGCAGAGCAGGCAGGAAATCCCACTGCTGCTGAAGCTACAGCCCTGTATTGCAGTCCTGGAGGCAATTGCAGCACTGGACCTGGGCCACGAACAGGTCTTCTGGCCTCCGGTATCATGCTGAGCTCTCCCTTTCCACCTAATGCATAGGGAAAGGGAAGGCAGATGCTGCTGGTCAAGCAAATCCTGTTCAACAGAGGTAAGATGATATAAACATATTTGGTTCAAAATCCTTAGAAATCAGCTAGACTTTTCAAACTGACTTCCAGGTGGAAATCAAGCCCCGACCTTTTCTCTCACAAACCAGGGAAACACCAGCCAACACAGCAGATATGAAATGGTGACAGTGGGTAATTTCCATTGCTGGTCCCTTGGTTAAATGCTGTGAGAAAATGGAATCAACATGCTGAGACTGCCCAGAAAGGCACAGAGGTAGCTGGGGTAGTATTGAGAAGGAAGCTACAGAAAGAGTAAAGCTTGTCCTGACCTTGAGGTGCTGATGGGGAACACCACAGCTGTACTACAGCCATGCTGGTTGCAGGAACCAGGACTCTGTGCTGTGTCATGTGGCTGTGCAGCACAGTCAGTGGTGTTGGGGAGCTATATGCTGTGTTCCACCGAGACAGGGAGGTGATGGAAGGTGTGCAGTTGCAGGCAGGATAAAACACTTAAGAAATGGTCCTCAAAGGTGGAGGGGAACCTAGTAAGTCAGTATAAGTTATAATACTAAAGGTTCTCAAATGCTCTCCCACTGAAAGTGAAGTGAAATATTCAACTGAAACGGGCAAAGAAGATCAAAGATGAAGCGGGAAGGCAAGAGACTGCTCGACACTGGACTAAACTGCCAGAAAGTCTGTCTTGCTGCTGTCGAAACAGCACGGTATATCAGGAAAGAAGCAGCTCCTTGAAAGTGTGTACACGGTGTAAAGCTGAAGGATGGAGCTCCTATAAACTCGGATACAGAGCATGAATCAAGCTGAAAATATTTTATCCTCCTTCTTCAAAAAGTAACCCATGCAGCATCACCCTGAATATCATCTACTTTTTATTAACAGTCTTTTGAAAGATCAAAAGGATCATGTTACATCATATGGTCATTTTTCTATAATGTTAAGAGTCATATGGTGGTTCTAAAATGCCAGCTATGTGATCTATTAAAATTAGACAAAAGGCAAAGGGGTGTGTAGTATGTAATCAAAGTCCTTCTACCTTACTGGTATACTTGAATTTTAATATGCTGTTTATCTTACAAAGTGCATTTATATTGCTGGGGTGACTGGACTCCAGAACTGTTCAAGACTTTTCTATTAGAATGATTCCCTGATAAAAAACTAATTTAAAAAGAACGCATTTTCAATGTAAAAATTTCACCAGAAGGTCTTGATTATGCTGTACACTGGTTTTGGTTTTGTTTGGTTTTTGGTTTTTTTTTTTAAACAAGCTCCTTGGCTGCATAATTCTCATCAGCCTGCCCGGCAAAAAGCACAAGAGATAATATTCTCAGGTTCACCTTATTCCAAATGTGACTGGAGAGATGCCACAGGAAACAAAAGTTTCCAGGCTGCTCACCATACCAGTCTGGGCAGGCAACAGATCCCTGATTCCTCAAATGGACAGCCAAGGAACACTGAGGAGGAAACCAAAAAACTCAAATTTTCCCACAAACAATATTTTTCAGACTTTTCTTTTACCTTTTTAGTCCAGTCTTGATGAATTAATATGTGCTTATATCTACATATATGTATGTATGTATCTATCTACATATATATTTTAAAAATGTGGATTATTTATATACAGATGTTATATGTGATGTGTATTTTATATAGATATATCTACACTTTATATTTTATAGATGTATATTTTTAATATAAACATAACACAGAAACACACATCTATTTTTTCACTCACAAGAGTAAAGGTCTATGGCTCAGGCAGTTCTAGCTCATACCATATCATCTGTTCTATATTAGGTGGACATTTCTCCTTTCCGCTTTTTGAACTTCTGGCATCTTACACAAGAAGTCTGTCTCCAACAGATGTAGGTTT